GTGAGCGGGCCGGGGCTGCGGGCGGTGGGAGGGGCGGCGGGCGCGCTCCCCCTTCCCCTGGCCCTGCTCGTCGGCGTGCTGTGTGACAGCTGGTGCGACGTGCTCCCCGGACAGGAAGGCTGTCCCGGCTGGCACGGGATTAGCATCGTGTGGGATTCACGTTGCGTAATGAAACCAGCTCTGTTTCATTTTCTGTTTCCTGCAAAAGAAACACACGATTTCTTAGCAAAGAGTTGAGCGATACTCTCCATTCATTAATGGGAGTCACATTTTTTCTGAAAGTAGTGAATTGGGTTTCTAGGCCTGTGTGGCTGCCTCCTTTTGTTGTGTGACTGGTCCGGCGGGGCTGTGACCTGGGCGAGTGGTCTGGTGCTCGGAGCTCACCCCAGGGACGGTCCCCCTCCCTGGGCCCCACACCCCTGCTGACCTGGCCCATGCCCTTTCATGCATGTCATTAAGCAAAAGGTGTTCACTTGTGGCCATGAATTTTGGTTTTTGCACAGCAGGTGCTGGGTGGAGAAAAGATCCTTCATTCTCTTGACCTTTGTGCTCCTTGTATTTAGAATTGGACTGTTTTTAGTGAATTTTCCAGGCTTCTTTTCCAGGAGAGCTAGCAAATGATAAATATTTTTAATTTCAAAAGCCTGACACACTTTTTTCACTTATGAAGAGACGAAAATCATTACATATCGTGAGACACAACTGTGTCTTGTGGACGAAGAGATCGTTGCCTTTCCCACGTGCTTTATAACTGCGTCTTCAGATTCCTGGGGGACGGTCACCTCAGTTTTTCCATGTTTCAAAGAAGCCCACTCTGGGGTCCCGAGCTTCTCACCTCGGGGAAGCCTCAGCTTTTGCTCGGAGCGTGTGCTGCGCGCCCGAGTGCGTGCGCCCTGACGGCTGGTCTGCCCCCTGCAGTGTATCAACCGGGAGGCACGGGCGGCCAACCTCTCCAGCTCGCTCAACCTGCCAGACAAGACCCTGCAGTTTGTCAAAGATCACCCGCTGATGGACGACTCCGTGACCCCGGTAGACAACAGGCCCCGGCTGGTCAAAACCGACGCGAACTACACGCAGATCGTGGTGGACAGGACCCAGGCCCTGGACGGGACCGTCTACGATGTCATGTTTGTCAGCACAGGTGGGTCCCGCGCCCTGGGCGAGGACGTGGGTAAGTCCGGCGCATCTCTGCTGCATGCTGCCAGCGTCTCCCTCCCCCAGGTGCCTGGGTGGTTTCTTAGAGCGTGGGAGGATTTCTAAGAAGGTGGCTTCAGATCTCAGTGGCCGTCAGACCACCTGGGGCACTGGTTAAAAATGCGAGTCTTGGCCCAGATCTGGAAATTCAGGTCTGAAGGGTCTGGGCTGGTGTAAAGGGAGGCCGGGTGGTGCCTGGGGAGGTGAGGTGAGAGCCGGCAGATACGCATGTCCCAGCTCCCCGTGGCTGAGTTCAAGGCCTGTCCTGACCTGCTGTGCGAGGCATGCCTTTCCTGGTCACCCCTGGCCTGACACAGGTGCTCCCAGAACAGGGATGGCGGCCAGGTGCTGCGGCCGCGGCAGCTCTGTCCAGCCCCCGCCTTCCTGGCCTGGGGCTCCAGGGGGGTGGCACCCCCGAGGCCCCTGGAGCCCAGGAAACACGCCCCCGTTGACCGTGCTGATGAGGGAAGTCGGGGTCAGCAAAGGGCTGTGTACTTCCCAGAAAAGAACGGGAGCAGCTTGTGCTGTTTGGGTTTCCAGCTGTTTATTTTGCTTTTCCTCTTCTGTTTCTGATGCAAAAACACCATCTGTTTCTAAGCCTCCTGTTGTGGGAGGGAGTGAGGGGAGGAAGGGTGACCATTTGCCACTGACCATCCTCTCCCCTCGGGGACTGACCTATAGCTTTAACCTTTGACCTCGCAGACCGGGGCGCCCTGCACAAAGCCATCAACCTTGAGAATGACGTCCACATCATCGAGGAGACACAGCTCTTCCAGGACTTCGAGCCGGTCCAGACCCTGCTGCTGTCCTCCAAGAAGGTAAAGTGACCGGGCAGCTGGGTGGGTGGCCCCGCGTCTCAGCGGCCACAGGCTGGGCTGGGCCGGGCAGTCCGCGCCGTCTGTCTGGCCCAGATGAGCCGACCTTCAGGCTCTTACAGAAGGTCCTTCCATGAGCTGTGGGGCTTGGGGTGGAGGGACGACAACTGTCCTAAAAGCTGACAGAGCCTCACTGAGCTGTCGGGACCAGCGCTGGGGGCGCGTCGTCACTGGCCTGTGAAAGCACTTCCTCGTGTCCGGGACTCGGTGAGGCCGAGCCCCCGCCGGCCGGTGCGCCACCTGTGCACCGCCTCATCACTGCAGAAAACCGTCCTCTGAGTAACAGCAGGGCACTTCCTCCTACTCCAGAGCTGCAGGCTTTTCTCTAAAGGACCGAGGGTTACTGCTTGAGGCCCCAGGGGCCGGGCTGTTGCAGCCTGGAGAAGCCGTGGGCGGTCCGCAGGCCGGCGAGCCCTGTTACGTTCCCGCAAAGCCTCACGCACGGGCGCCGAGCTTTGCAGTTCATGGAATTCTCACGTGTCACCGAATGTCATTCTTCTGACTTTCCTTCAACCATTTAAAAATGTGAACCCGTTTGTTAGCTGGTGGGCTGTGCAGAGACAGCCAGCGGGCTGGGTTTGCCTTGCCGTCCACAGGCTGTCACCTGTCGTGTATCTGTAGTGGCCTTTGGGAAACATGCCACCCGGTTTACAGCTGGGATGGAGCAGTGACGGGCAGAGTGCGGGCCGGATCCCAATCCAGGCTCCACAATGTGTGACCGGGAGCCTGGGCAGGCCAGTCCTACCTCGGTCTCTATCCATACAGTGAGGTACAGCAGATGGGAGGGTCCCAGCCTGGTCCCGGCCCTGCCCTGTGACTCCCCACACTGCGGCCCCTGGGCTGTCAGGTCAAGGACCTCCCTTACGCGTGTAGGGTCCCCCCGTGGGGACTTGAGTGTCCCTGGGCTGACGGGCTCTGGGGCCTGGCAGTCCCAGGGAAGCTCGGCCATGCGTCACGTTCTCCTGCGCTGCAGGCCCCCCACTGCTCAGTCTCCCCACCTGCACCCTGTTTGAAAAGCTTTGCTCAGGGGCACCAGGCCAGGCTGTCCCTGCTTCGTGTGGTGTCACCTATTGCTGGGAATTTACGGTTTGACCCGTGACACGCCAGGCCTTCCTCTCTTCATGTTGGAAAGAGGTTGTTCCTGTGGCCCCTCGGAGCATCCTCGCTGCCCTGGCTCCACCCGGCTTGTGGGGCCCAGGCGCACGGCTCCCTCAGCCTTGGGCCACGGGCAGCAGGTGGGCGCCCCTGGTAGCCAGGCGGGAATGAAAAGAAAAAAGGCGACTTCTCGGTCACCACGTGTTGGCAAACATCACATGTGGGTCTTTTGTCGTGAGCTTGAGGAGGTGGCTCTGGTTTCAGACGCCTGTCACAGGGCCACCTCCCCCCTTGGCCACTGCACGGTGAGCTCCCTCCTTCCCGTTCTGAGAGGGAGGAAGGACGAGGTCAATGGAGTTAGGCTACCAGACGTGGCATCCGTGCCTCTTGAGGGGGTGCTTCGGCCCCCCTGTCTGGGGTCTCACCCACCCCACGTCCTTGTTGAGACAAGGACACCCAGGAGACCGTCCGCCTGCTGGCAGGTCCCCCAGGTGCCTCAGCCAGCCTGGGACGAGGACCCTTGAGGCCTCCAAATGCACACATACTCATCAGAACTGAGGCCGGACCCTGAGCGCGGGTGGACGTGCGGTGAGAACAGGGCCCTGCTCTGCGCCACGGTGCAGTTCACGGACCTGTGCCCTGCCATCCTGAACCCGAGTCCAGGGCCCAGGGCACATGGGCTCTCATCTCGTTGGAGGATGGGGGGAGGAGGAAGGAGGGCAGGATCTCCTGGGGGGCTCTTACAGGTCAGCCCTGTGCCCCCCACTCTGCGGTCAGGATGCGGTCACGTGGCTGGGGGAAGCCTGGCGCCCGGGGAATGAATGGCCTGTCCCTGCAGGAGTCCCCACTGCACTGGGGCATGCTCAGTTACCTGGGACACCTGAGAGTTTGTCGCGCACCCACGGGGCCCCGCACCTTCCCCTGGGCTGCTGGCCGTGCTGCCGGGGCAGCAGGAAGCGGCTCTTCCGGGTAAAAGGCCCCCTGCCCCTTGTCCCCGCCTGCAGAGTCTTCGGCCCATCGTGCCTGAGCCTCAGTGTGGAAGGCTGGTGAGCAGCTGTGGGCAGCACAGAGCCCCCTGCAGCCAGAAAGGGGGACTGCCCCTTGTCACTATCTCCTGTCCCCTAACAAGTGACTTTGTTTTTTGGGTTTTTTTGTGTGTGGTAAATACTCATCAGATAAATTTTGGTTGTTTTGTGTGTACACTTCAGCAGCGCCAAGTGCAGTCACGCTGTGCGGCCATCATTGCTGTCCACCTCCAGAGCTTTTTCATCCTTCCAAACTGAAGCCCTGTCCCCGCTGAACACTGACTCCTCCTTCCTCCCGTTCCCCAGCCCCGTTCTGCTTTCCATCTCTGAGTGTTTGACTAAGAACCTCACTTCAGTGGAATCCTACAATGTTTGCCCTTTTGGACTGGCTTGTTTTCTCCAGCATATTGTCTTAAAGGTTCATCCATGCCACTGCAATTGATGGGATTTCTTTCCTTTTCGGGGCTGAATAATATTCCATCATGTGCACACACTGCATCTTGTTTACTCACCCACTGAGGGACGCTTGGGTTGCCTCCACCCCTGGGCTGTTGTGACTAGTGCCGTGTGACGTCTCTGAGTCCTGCTCCCAGGTCTCTGTGTGTACGTGGCAGGTGTGCCCTGGGCCACAGAGCCGGCTGCGTCTGCAGTCCCCAAGGACACTCTTGGATGGTAAGGGGCAGCCTGTGCAGCAAAGGGGAGGGAACAGTTGCTTCGGCAGGTGCTCCTCCAGCTCCAGCCACGTCCCCCCACGATCACGTGCCTGTGTATGCAGGGATGGAAATGAGACAGTGTGGGCCCAGGGCTCCAGCAGGGCATGTAGTCAGCTGGAGGGTGGAGACACACGCGGCGCCCACAGGGAGAGGGCTGGGGAACGTGCGTTCCCAGCAGATCTCTCATGGCGCCCGGCTGGGTGGTTTTCTCTCAGAATAGTTGGGACGATGGTGCAGGGAGTCCAGTGCGTGCCTGCCAACCCGAGGAGTTCCGCTGGCACCGCACCCCCACTCCCCTCCAGGCCCCGGAACCCCTGTCCCGCCACCTGCCTTCAGGCTGCAGGGCCCCATGCAGCCTCCAGCTCCTCTCCTCAGTCCCCTCCAGCCCGCACGGCCCCCCATCCGCCCGTCTGGGTGGCTGTGACACTCAGGAGAGAACAGGTCGCGTTCTGCGGACACCCTTCAGTTTGGGTGCCTCTGGTGTTGTGTGTAGGTTAGGGGTGAGTGTTTGGGGAGATGACCACTGTCTCAGGGACGTGGCCTCGACGTGACTTCTCAGAGTTACTGATTTCTTTTTCCGTGCTGTCCCCGTGCCCTGTGTTCGGTGGGCCCAGTTCCCCAGGGGATGGGGAGCTAAGCCCCAGCTTCTCGAGGGGGAGGCTGAAGAGTCTGGGGGCCACGTTCAGCTCCTACTGTCACCACCACTAATTTGTGGGTGACCTTGAGGCTCCAAAGACACCTGGCCCCGTGCCCGCTGACTCGTCACGTCCGCCCGT